AAAGAAATAGAGGAAAGAACTAGGAGGCAAAGGACATTTATAGAGATCTAAATGCAGGCATTTACAGATGTAAATATATTTATAGATGATGAGGGGGAAATAGATCTATGTACACATGGAACCCTTGCAAGCTTTTAAGACCCCAGGCACTATGTAATGGATGAGGGGCTAGAATTAATGCACCAAATGTGACAGTTTAATTAATCGCTGTCCCATGAAAACATGAGTCCAAGCTTCCAAAAACCAAAGAATCAAATCCCATGAGGTGTTAAATTTCCAGTTCCTTGAAAGATAAGCTAGAAACCTTAGTGGCCAGTGAACTTATGTTAGTGGCGAAGACACCACTCAGCAAAGGAGGGTGAGCCTGTGTGCACATCTCAAAGGATGAATCAATGCCACTGAATGACAGAGGCAGACCGGGCTGCCTCGGTGTGTGTTCTGCTGTGTTGATCCTCTACATCAACAACAGAAATAGAATAAATCACTTTAAAGAGTGTGTTTTATATATGTGTATTCTCAGGTGTGCTTCTGTAAATAACACTTTCTAAAAGTGGAGCTATTATGGGGGAGTCTTCTATCTATGACATAGGCCCCAAACATATTTGACCACCTCCCTTTTAGAAAAAAAATTGCTTAGCACCCCCCACCCCAGGAATTAAGTGTTTGTACTTTAGCCCATAACATGTAAATGTCTGCTTTTGTCACCCCCTGGAATGTTCTAGTGGCACCCTTCTCCCCGAGGAGGGCGGTCGCACCCACTCTGAGAAACATTAATCTCCAAGATGAATGGATGTTCCCTGTTAGGACAGTGCATATCTCCACGTTAAAGTTACCTGGTAGTGACAACGTAACTCATTTTCTGCATTATTTCTAGCTCATTTCTCAAAGGTGATGTTAGCAAGCGCGTGCAGGCTGTGATGTAAATTTCCACATTTGCTAATTCTCCAAGACGCGGTTGTCTTGTTTTCACGCATTTTTGATCCGGGTGAGGCCCCTCACGCTTCCTTCGGTCGGGCGCTCAGCCATCCACGGCCACAGGGGCTCCTTAGCCCAGTCATCGGCGTGTTCCTTCCTGATGGCCAAAGAGAGAACGAAGCGGGGAGGAATGTCTAGGCATCTTGAAATGGAACATTCCAGCAGCCATTCTAGTTTATGGGGACCCATTGTACGAGGTGAAGACTGTTGGGTGGGAGGGTTACTGATGAGAAGGTATCTGAGTCCCAGGTTTCCAGACCTTTGAGATAAGGAGAGCCAAGAGAGCCCTTCTCTAAGAATTATGGCTAAAATGGCACCAATTGCCCAGGCAATCTATCCATAGGCGATCTATCACTGGGCCAGCTTTTTGAACATATGTGTTCCCATGTTCCGTAATGCCCTACGTCATGGAATGGGCACTCCCGGAGG